TAGTGTCTCTACTTTAAAGACTCCTCTCCTGCTGATGTTCAGGTGTATATCAGTATGTAGTGTCTCTACTTTAAAGAGTCCTCTCCTGCTGATGTTCAGATTCATATCAGTATGTAGTGTCTCTACTTTAAAGAGTCCTCTCCTGCTGATGTTCAGGTGTATATCAGTATGTAGTGTCTCTACTTTAAAGAGTCCTCTCCTGCTGATGTTCAGGTGTATATCAGTATTGTCTCTACTTTAAAGAGTTCTCTCCTGCTGATGTTCAGGTGTATATCAGTATGTAGTGTCTCTACTTTAAAGAGTCCTCTCCTGCTGATGTTCAGGTGTATATCAGTATGTAGTGTCTCTACTTTAAAGAGTCCTCTCCTGCTGATGTTCAGGTGTATATCAGTATGTAGTGTCTCTACTTTAAAGAGTCCTCTCCTGCTGATGTTCAGGTGTATATCAGTATTGTCTCTACTTTAAAGAGTTCTCTCCTGCTGATGTTCAGGTGTATATCAGTATGTAGTGTCTCTACTTTAAATAGTCCTCTCCTGCTGATGGTCAGGTTTATATCAGTATGTAGTATCTCTACTTTAAAGAGTCCTCTCCTGCTGATGTTCAGGTGTATATCAGTATGTAGTGTCTCTCCTGGGACATGTCTCCATGCTTTAATGTTCAAAAAGCTCTTTATTTTTCTCATACTGCCTGTGCTGCAGAACCTCTTTTCACCCTCTGTCTGAAACCAGAGCCCAGTCTGCTCTGATTGGTTAGCTGGCCGGCTCTGGTGTGATTGATCAACTGCTTAGAGATGTCCCCCTCCCTTAGCATATAATGCACAATGTGTTGGAGCGCTGGCCAATAAAAGCGTGAGTGTTACATAGTGATGTCACTATGAGAGAAACTACCTCTGGACGGAACACAGGGATTTCAGCCATTGTAGACCATTTACAAAATCCTATTGAATACACTACAGGAAAAACCCCAAAAGCATTACAGGGCCCCTTTAGTTCTTTTATTTTTATGTATTACATTTTTTTTTTTTAAATGTTTTTATTTATTTATTTTCTTATCATCTTTTGATATTTTATGTAACATGATATGGTGGAGCAATTTTTATTACACAAATAAAGAATCAGATTCATTTTTTATTTGACAAAAATATCCAAATACAAATCCCAAACCAGTATTAGATTTATAAGACACTGTTAAAAAAAACACAATAAAAAACACATCTCAAATGTTCAGCCAGATTAAAGTAGAGAAAAGCACAAAACAGAAACAGCATGACAGAGCAGCAGAGTGTATGAGAGAGAATGAGTTTACACATAGTCAAATCTCTGGTTGGACCTCCCGTCCACGCTGGGAGCCTTGTACGAGGGTCTGGTGTCAGACCTGTAGATCGTGGGGTGAGAGGGCGCTTTATAGGCCATCCCATCATACCTGAAGAATATCAGAAAAACAAGCAACTTTAAATAAAGACAAACAGGAAGTGGAGCTGCTGCAGTGAATTCTGACATCATCTAACATCAGTCTCTATCCCACGTATAGATATTACAATTGAAATAAATAGGATTAAAAACCTTTTGACAAGGGAAAGTGTGACCAGGAGAAGAATATATTGACGTGTATTGTTTTGGAAGCGGCCTCCTCGTAAACACTTGCAACTCTGCATTAAATATGCAGAGAAAAAATACACACACCAAATGAGTGCTTTTACATTTAGCTGAGTGTCCTTAACTTTGAAAGGAACTATAAAATGAACTTATCCTTGGTGCAATTGTAGATTATTAGGAGTTAATCGCAATTCAGCTTAAACAGATGAAATGTTATGTGAAAAAAAAAACGTATGAATGTATTTTATGTGGATAAATTGTTATGATATAATAAATAAATAATATAGATAATATATAGATGAACTCAGACGATTGCTAAAAAACATCAGGTAGGATTTTCTGTGAAATGGCAAGATGGGTGGGAAGAGGGGGGGACGGGGTGGCATGGGAAAGGGATTCCCTATATTTTTTCTTTCTTTGTCTTTTCTTTTTCTTTTTGTATTGTCTATATTGTCTATATAATTTGTATCTGTATAAGTCCCTTTTGTGAGGGCAAAAAAAAAAACAACAATAAAAAGTTGGTCCCAAAAAGAAAAGAAAAAAAGATGAACTTATCCAGGGGTGCTTTACATTGTTGTTCAGCTTTGTCAGGAGCCAGGGCTTCCTTTAACAGCAGTGAACATTCAATCTGCACTAGTTCTGCTTACTGGACACTTCTGTAGGAGCACCCTACCCCATCCAGAGCACAGAACTTCTGACACCACTGGTGGTGTTAATCATTAGAAAAGGTCAGAGATGACGGAACGTACCGCTGGGTCGTCTCTGAAGTCATTCCACGGCAGGCCAGACACAGCATGATGCCCCCGATGAAGAGGACAGCCGCTCCGATCCAGCCCACGAACAGAGCGGGGCCAAAAGTGTACCTCAAGAAGACATTGTTAGTAAAACCTGACAAAGCAGCCTGGTTTCACCAAATGCCATAAAAATAACACACTAATTCCAGAAGTGATTTTGCCAGTTTCGCCGCCAGGTGGACAAAGTAAATTTACTGCAATTTAGTCATCCAGAGTGTAGAAAAACTGCATTACAACAAGACCTGCACTTAGAATGTACATTAAATACAAAAAGTAGTTAATCTGCATGACCGCCCATATCAGATTTCTTTTTTATAATATTAAACTGTCTATTTAAAGGTCCCCTATTATACTCCTTTTCATCAATATTTTAAAGCTCTCAGATATATACAAAACATGTCTCTGAAGTGTTTGGCTGAAACACCAAACAGATCATTGCAGCATCCCATAATACCCTCTGTTACAGGCCTGTTTCAAAAGTGCAGATTCTCTGTCTGTTACTTTAGATGAAAATAAGGAGCCCCTCCCCACGCCCCTCTGAGAGAGATTTGGTTACGAATAACTCAATGGTGCTCTAGGAGGAGATTCAGGTGATGCGGGGGGGGGGGGGGGGGGGGGGGGTTACCTTGGCTGGTGATTGGCTAATGGTTACACAAGCCAAAAAAACATTATGACATCACAAAGTGACCAAAATCTGTTTTTTATATAAATGGATCAGGACAAAAAGAGAGGGGTCTTTGTTCCTGAGACTTTCAGAATCTCTTTACACAGAGGGGACACATGTCTATGTATAAAATACATGAAAAAGTGGATTTTACATAATAGGTGACCTTTAAAGTAACCAAAGTTAATAAATAGATATTATTCAAAAAAAGAATACCTGTCTCTGATTTGTAGTGGAGTAGAAGTATAGAGTATCAGAATTGGAAAATACTCATACATTAAAATGGTATTTTAGTACAGCATTTGAATAAATAATATCAGTGTCCACCAATGGTTATCACTTAGATTTGTTTGGCTTTTTTGTAAGTAATTTCACGGTGCAACAATATTAAGTACTTAAGTTAAGTTGCAAGACAAACAGGTTAATTGAACCTAGACCATGATATTTCCCTAAGCTTAGCTAATTAGACATGTTTGGATTCACAATGTAAACCACATCTTTAAAACTGCAACACAGTGTCCGTATGTGGCGCTTCACGATAACTACCTTACATACGAACGTCACCAAATGTATGCAACAAAAAAGTGGCATGGTAGTTAGAATCCTATCCATGAAGTTGAACAAAGTGTTGTAGCAGATAAAAAAGCATTTTAATTTGTGCTTACCTCGGAGTCAGATTTCCTGAGAGTCCACCAAGACCCCCCCCGCCACCGCCACCATAGCCGCCACCGCCACCATAGCCGCCATCGGCATATGTGGTGAACCGGAAGCTTTGCACAATCAAGTTAGCGAAGGCAGACACCCCAGCAATGCCACACACTCCTGAAAATGAAGAGCAAACGATGGGTGAGTGCAGAACAGTTCTGCTGTGATAACAGAACTACACGTTGTGAACATCACTGCACCTGCCAGAATGATCATGACCCCAGACGTCAGAGTCATCGTGGCCTTGATGCTGTCCTCCATGTTCCCAATCTTCAAGCACTTCAGGGCAAATATGGCGATGAGGACGCCGATGGCTCCGAGAATGATTCCAACAATCATCAGAGCCCGCACGGCCTGGAGCAGAGCTGGAGCCAGAGGATACCACTCAGAACAATCTCAACACAGTATTTACTCATAAAATAAATATGCAAGCGGTCAATGGAGAGCTGTAGTTCCTTAATATGGATCTACTTCCGCTCTTCTTTATTTCAGAGGAAAATATGTTTACTTCATTAAATCTATTTGGCAGTTATAATTAGTTTGCAGGTTAAGATTTTGCATGCAAAAGCATAGGATCAATAAATAAATAAATAAAGATGCATTTTTACCCCAAAAAGATTCCCAACAGGATATAGAGTTAAAATAGCTAAATATTGACCAGCTTCAACACAAAATGCTTCTTATACATTAGTGTATCAATATCGATAAACATTTAAATAAAATATAGAAAAATTTTCATCCTTTTTAAGCACTGACAAATCAAATATTTTCTTGATGCATAAGTTGTCAAAACTTTACTTTAAAAGACACTCAAAACGCATGGCATGTTTTGAAAAAAGCAAAAAAGAATACAAATAATGTTGTTGTTTTTTTCCAGGCGTAGCAATATTAAAGTTAAAACTCTATATATAAATCAAGACGCCATGTATTAAAACGATTTGACCCAAAATGCCATCTTTCAATCCCCTGAGATATTGTACCTGTATTATTCCAGCCTTAAGCCTTTAAGACCTTATGTACAATATGCTCTACACTACATTCAGCTGTTAAGCACAGAGTGTGGAAATTTACTTTACATTGTGTGACACCCCTCTAAAGCTTGTGCTTGCTCAGCTAAGCTTTGGATGTCTCATAAAATTTCCATTTGATTCCGTAGAGACACCATCTTTTCTGCAGTCCGCTGCATTTTCATGCAGCAGGTAAACGTGGAAAATCTGCCCTAAAACCTGCCGAATATTCCAAAGTACTTTCCTAGGGTCCTTTGAAAATGTCCTCCTTAATCCAACATGTGGAGCAATGTTTGATAAATGTATTTTTCTCTCTGGGTGTAATTCTCTTACCTGGCAGTCCTAGTATGGTAAAATAAGGCCTGCACTGCGTTGTACCGTACGACGTCCCCACGCACAAGTTCCACAAACCAGAGTATGTGTAAATGTTGGTCACAACTGTAAAAGATCGATCCTGCAGACTCCACATGTCCATTGCTGTTGCAGCTGATATTAAGAACTGCCCCAGCCCAGACAACATGAATCCTATTAACTGAATCATCGAGACCGCCATTTTAGATGTCCCGCTCAAACAAGTAGCCAGCGATGTCACAGAGTCATGAAATGGCAGCGCCTGAGCGGCTGCTTATCTTTATATATGATTCAACAAGGAACCGTTCTTATCAGATGTTTACCCAATTTTCAGTCTTTGTCCCAGTTTCGGTAACAGTAGCAACGAGAATTTCCTCCCCTTCGTAACAAAGGGTGTGGTTTGACTTTTGAAAAATAAACTGATAATGTTACATCTGCCAATATGTCATGTTTGTTTGTCTGTTGTAACAGGATGACTGTTAAACTGCTAGCCTGATTTTGGCTTGGTGGGGTGATGTAGCATGGACCAGGGAAGAACACAATGAGTACTTTACTTTTGGGGTACTTGTACCTGACCTGAGTTTTTCATGCATTGCTAATTTATCATTCACATGTAGTACTTTACTTATACTCATTTACAATTGGGAAGCCATTTTCGTACTTTGTACTCTGTTACGTTTATCTGACAGCATTGGTTACTTTATAGATACATTTTATTAGCTAATACAAAATATGTATATATTTATGAACAAGTCATTTTTGACTCAGATATGTATACATGTTCATTTAATTTATTTATTGTTTTAACAGCTACTTACCTGTATATCATTTTATTTTGTATCTCTAATTGTAGGTGTGACTATAGTTACATTTTGGCATTATCAAAAACCATCAACCTTTATTTTTTTGGTGACTTAATGAAGTATTCTCCTTCATCATTTGTGTTGCTTTTGACAAAATAAAAGTGTACCTGGCAGTCCCAGAATGGTGAAATACGGCCGGCACTCAGTGAAGCCGGAGCTCTGCCGGACGCAGGAATTCCACAGGCCCGAGTAGGAGAAGATGGCCGTCACCACGCTGTCGTAGAGGTCCTCAGTCGCCCACTGGTCCATCCCTGTCGCTGCGATCATCCCCCCCAACCCTAACAGACTCAGGAGGAAGCCCATCACCTGACAGAGAGTCGCTGCCATGGTTCTTCTGCTGGTGGAGGGAAAATATAAAACTCCAAATTCTAAAGCTAAAGGTCTGTCCTCAGCACTGCGGCTGTGAGTTGGAATATGATATCTGCAGGTGTGAAGTCAAGAAGGACTTCACCAATGACCCTGCTTGTTTGCACACAGCCCAGTCATGTACAGAAGGAGTTGGGTGGAGCGTATTAGTGAAATATGATTACTGTTGGCTCCTTAATTTGGTTGGTATAGAGTAAACATGATGTGGTTTGGTATACAGTCATTTTAATGTTTTTTAATGAAAATAGTGTTGGAGAAAAACCTCAAATTCAGTTACTCGCTTCAGATTTAATGAGTGCTGCTGCTGGTTTGTACTGTCGGCAGATTTATATTAACCTGTCCCACAGTTGTTGGGTGAAGCTGTTTTGAATTCAAGACATCAAGTTCAACAGTCCTGAAAACGTTGTTTTAGCTTCCCACTATGAACGGTGGGGTTCTACATGAACACCAAACCACTCCCACACAGTGTGAAGAAGCAATGCAACGTTTTGAGGGAACTATAAATATCTATGTTTACATGAGTGTATAATCAGTTTAAAATGAGCCCTTCATATCCCAAGTCTACTATGTTGAACCGCCATGTTTCTACAACAGACAAATCAAACTCCAAATGGCTCTAGAACTAGAGTTATTACTCTCATATACGTCTGCTGTAGGCTTAGAAATGTAAAGTTACACCCAGCAGCCGGTTAGCTTTACGTAGCATCACCACTGAAAAGCAAAAAAATTGCTGGCTTGGTTCTGCATAAATGAACTGTACAAAAAAACCTCCTCTAGCATCTCAACGGTTTGGGCTGCAAAAAAAAATTAAGTTTACAAACAGCCATCACATTTTATTAGCGGGGAGCGTACGCAATTATTTCTTGATTGTGACCAGCGTGTTGGTTGTCTGGCATGCTATGCTAAGCTAACCACCTGCTAGCTGTAGCCCTATGGGACATATCTCTCAGACATGATCTCAACACATTTCCCAAAATGTAAAAATATACCTAAATTCCTATGATAAATAAATTATAAATAACCATGTCTCTGATTGATAATTATTTAGTCATAGATATTTATGTTTGAGAGAAACAATACATAAGGGCTTTAAAAGAGCCAATCTGGATGGATTTCCTAACTTTAGCTGCAATTCATGTTTAATTTTCTTGACATTAAGATTTAAGTCTTCTATTTTAATGGTTGACAAAGATGTGGAGCACAGCCAGCATCCTGTTTACACCTCCTGGGCTGAGTCATGTCCTCATGATGGGAAACCTGAATGTGATGGGCTGCCATGTGGCAATAACAGGCAAGAGAAACCTTCTCTCTTATTTAAATTCGTTTTTTGCTGTCTACTTTGCAAAATCCCATGGTAACACTGAGCATTACACAGTTTTGATACAGGATTAGACGATGTTGGAAACAACTTGAAATAAGGCATTGATATGGGCTTGGAACCACACAAAATGCATCATAGTATTGCCTCAGTGGTTTGTTCATACCTCTTTAGATCTTGATACATTCAACATTATTTAAAGTGGTTATTAAAGTGTATTTTGAATACTGAGGACTTCAAAGTTAGTTTACTGTTATTATATGTTGCTTTAACCAAATGTACAGTTTGAATATTGTTGGGCAGTGTGTCTGGACGGGCTGTGTTGTGTGATACTGGACGTCCCTTTGGGGGGGGGGGGTGCTGTGTATCGTGTGGCACCAGCAGCCAGTCAGGCTAAAGCAAATACTGATATGATTGTAGTGAACTGAAACTAATTTGCCTGTGGCTGATATGCAGAGGAGAAATTGAGACCAGGGCTGAATCGAAACTGGGTGGGGCTTTATTCAGAATAGAATGTATCATTATTGTATTTAAACAACTAATACACATAGAGTTGAACCTTTGCTATAAACTTGAGGTCATGTCAGGTATCTCAGGACGAATATAAAAGTTGTGTTATAGGTTAGGATTTATTATCTCAGTTTGTTTAGTTCCCTTGTTTTTTATGGACAGTAACACAAAAGTACAATGTAATATTTGATAGTTGATTATAATTGCGTTTTTCATGGTAATAACTGAAGTCAGAGAATATTGCTGACTACTTGGAATAAAATAAGTATTGCCAGACACAAAAGATTGACTTTTTAACTCATTACATAATATATCAAATATCAAGTATTTATCGATAATAGCTAGAAATGATATCATGGGAAATACTTTAAATATATACATTTACAAGTAACCTAAGTGTATTTATTTTAAGAAATGCTTTGGCCTTAAAAGGGTCAAACTAAAGTTATAAAAGAGGGAATAATCCATTTAGACATCCATATATTACACAGAGATATTGACATAATAATGTATATAGGGAAGGAAATACATTTGTTTTAAAAACCTAAGCTAAATCAAGTATTAAATAAGGTTAAGAAAATTTGTTTAAAGGCAGACTTGACCTCTCTGTTAACTCATTACACGCAGTAAATCACTCATGAAGGTGTTGTGAACACAGTTCAAGTGTGGTTTATACTACCCTTTCTCTCTCCCACACACTCACACAGACGCCTGATTTAATCACTGTCAATAGAAATAACTGCATGCTGCTGCACTAATGATTTTTGCTGTCTGCTGTGCAAAGCCATTTGTACCCCAGCAGGCTGAACCTTAAGCAAACAACTGTCCAGCCTCTGATTGCTTATCCTGATCTGCCCTTACTAATATACATGAAAAGAGAAGCCACTTCACACATGTTAGCCGTGTAGCTTCGATCATATGAATTATCTGTGTTGTTCCTTCCTTGTATCAAATGCCACCTTACTGGAAGAAGCTCTAGGTCAGTGCTGTGATGTGTGATGCCCCTTAATCAGAGCCAGCATGCATTGGCCGGCCAATCAACAATGCTCTTCACCCAAATGTTGCTTTTACCCGCAGATTTCTTTTTAGCAAATCAAATGTTTTCAAAGCTCCAGAAAAAAGTCCTGCTAAATTGAGGGGGAATCGTCAGACTTTTTTTATGAAATGAATTGCAAGACTTTTAAAATATTTCCTTTGATAGACTGGTGCAGCCATAAAAAAAAACGTGATTATTATGTCTTATATTTTTGTGATGTGTGATGCCCCTTAATCAGCCCCTTAATCAGAGCCAGCATGGATTGGCCGGCCAATCAACAATGCTCTTCACCCAAATGTTGCTTTTACCCGCA